GAGAAAAGAGAGAGAGAGAGAGAGAGAGAGAGAGAGAGAGAGGCACCACGTACTCAAATCAGTTGGTCGGGCATCTGCTTATCAGTTGTAAATTCCCTTTGGTCTGGGGTTCGATTCCTCCCAAGTGTAGGGTGTGATATTCGAATTTTTAGGCGCATGAGAGAGAGAGAGAGAGAGAGAGAGAGAGATTTACATGCAATATAAAATCTAGATAGTATAATATATGTGATATAATATGTCTATTTGTATATTTAGTTGATTAGAAATTAATCTAGTCAATTGGAAATTGATTTCATGTCGACTTAAAATGTAAGTTCTATTCGAGTATAATCAACTCAATTCAAAATTATTTTTAAGTTGAGTCGACTTGAAATCACAACAATGGGGATCATGGATTGGGTTTATCATGTATTAGACTCTCATCGTTTCCCAGAGATGGGTGTGGCTTATTGTGCATGCCTCCCAGCCAAGCAATCCTCCTCACCTCTCCTTCTAACACTTTCTCTCCCTCCCTCTCCTCTTTCTCCTTCATTAATCCTATTTTGAAAGCTTTCTCATCTCAGCTTCACTATCAGAATCATCAAATCAATTCATCGCTTGTTTGAGCCTTTATCCTTTCTTTCCATGCGCACTTCGGTGTGCTAACCGTCTTCACTTGCTTTGCTAGCCCTGAGAAATGACAAACGGCTTTTACTGATCCACACCCATCAATGAATAGCTGGACAGATTGAAGATAAGGATGGAGACATAGAAATTTGGAAAAAAAAGAATTTTTTTTTTAATTTTTTGCAACGTTATTAAATTATTGTAAGGAGGCGATATGGTAGAAGCTCATTCAATTTCCTTTGAAGGTACTACTATAGTAATTTTGAATAGAGTTTTCGTTCTATTGTAAAGAGAAGATATTAGAGTAGAGAGTGTATAGCTGAGAGAATTATTTTTTTTAGAAGTTGGTGGAGTATGTTTTAGGTTCGACTGGTGTTAAGAAAGGCAGAGGTAAACCTAAAAATATTTGGGCATATTATATTAAAAATAATCTTAATCTGTTAGAATTAAATGAAAATATGATACATAATAGGACACAATGGAGAAAAAAGATTCATGTAGCCGACCCTAGTTAGTGGGATAAAGGCTTGTTGTTGTTGTTGTTGTAGAAGTTGGTAGAATGGAGAATGCCCCACATCACTTTGGCATCTTCTGACACATGATGGTGGAAGCAATCATGGATTTGAAATTATAGAGCATTCATGTGAGAATCACATTATCAGAGGATCGCTAGGAGTATTTTTAACATATTGAAACAATGAAATCTTTTTGATTGATTTTAATACTAAAACAGATACCCACAAGAGATACCAGGAAATAAATAGGCTGTTATTATTGATATATCGTAATAATAAAGACCAAATAATAAATACTTCTGTATTTCCAATTTGACAAATTCTATATGATAACAATGAGCTTATCTACTTTCATAATCTAACTCATATAATGTTTACTCCCGTATGACTAGTCCTGCTTTCATTGTACAATTCAATAATGAAAATGTTATAATGTATTTGGCTGAATGACGTGTCTCTTTACTTATTCTAGCTAACTTTGTAATTACCAGAATCCAATTATGATCCTGGGCACCATTTCATTCTAAGAATTTATCATTTTTTTTCCTCGCAAATGGGCTCTTTCGACATATTTTTGGTATGCCCTTTAAGCTCTTTTTATTTTTCTTAAAAACTACTTTATGCTAATGTCAGTAAACTTGGCGTCTCTAATTTTATTACTTCTATTTATGTTACTATGAGTGAACTTAAATATATTTTTTTATTCAAATTGCTTTATTTACACTGCTAATAATCTATTTCCTTTTAATTTTTTTTTTTAAATTTAGTTTCTTAGGAGTAAAAATTATGTAGTTCTTTGAATCATATTCTATGATTCTCGATGAGTGACAAAACTATTCGATGGTACTCTAATAATATAACATAAAGGCCATTTACAAATTACATACATAGCACACAATTCTGATGTATTTACTTATCTCACACCTAAATTTACATATTTACTCACAGCACTCCAATCTTTAATAACACGTCAAAAATGTCACTATTTCCTTCTTTAAAAGTGAAATATACATTTTCATGCAATGATTTAAAGCACCAAAATGCTATGCATGTAAATATGGAAGTTTAGGTGTGAGATCTGTAAATACATAATTGTGTGCTCGGTACGTAAATTTAATGTAACTATTTTCAAGCACTTTGATCTGCTGATTGGTGAAATCTGGTCACACTAAATTTCAGGTTTCCGCTCTTATATTGGAAAATACTTTTACTTCTATCCTGGATATGGCTGGAGTTCTGTTGCCCGTCCTCAAGTGGTTTATAGGTGGCGGTGCTTCCAAGGGTCCGAAAGTTCTTAATTTTCTTGTCCGCTCACCTTGGAGTACCATTGATATTATCGGACAGGTGAGTTTTCACGTCCCTTAGGAACTTGTTTTACGACTTTGAATCATTGGAATTTAAGGGTAACTCATCAAGTTTTACTTTAAAGAAATTTCAAAATTATCATAAAATCAAACTTAAACCTTAAAAGGTTATTTATGTAGTGCTGAATTATGTTGTTGAATGTCTGGAAGCAGTTAGGCGTATACATATATGAGACAATTCCTCCCTGATCTCTGCTGTTGTGATTTCCTTGCTTTTTAAGAGCACAATCTGCGATGGATTAACCAAGTTGTCAATTATCATTTTTGCTGTTATTGTTATCAGTTTCTTCTGTTAATAGTGTGCTTTGATTCTTATCAACATGTTGAACTTATCCATTCAAATTGTATTTCATGTATGCTCGAAAGCGTAGAATATTGGTTGGAAATAAAATAAATAATCCCATTGTGTTGGGTACAAGTGCTCACCCTACCCGAAAAAAGAGGGAAATTGACATATGTACCATGCAATTCTTATGGATTTATATGTATTAACACTTAAAATTTGATGTTTACATTAATAACACTTTCGAGCTATGAACCTATGCATAAAAAGGTGTATTTGAGTTCTAAAATATTAGTAAAGTGCTATTTTTAATGTGATGTTAAAGATTTGGAGTGTTATGAATGTAAATATTAAACTCTGGGTGTTCGGTACATAAATTCATAAGAATGTGTGGTATGTATGTAAATGCCCTCTGAAAAAATTGCATTTCACGATCTTTTGGCGCAATCTTACTAATCCATTGTTTTCATACAGATCAAACAGCCAATTCTGTTCCTCTCTGGGTTGCAAGATGAGATGGTTCCTCCATCACACATGCAAATACTTTATGAAAAAGCAGCTGAGAATAATTCACGGTGTCTTTTCATTGATTTTCCTAATGGCATGCATATGGACACGTGGCTCTCAGGTGGCGATCGTTATTGGAGGACCATTCAGCTATTCTTCGATCAATATGTTCTACAGACCATAGACTCTGAGAGAAAGTTATTGGAACGGAATAGTTCATGACGAAGAAGAGTGGAGATACTGAAGGTTATTATATTATATTGCTGCACTATATATTTTTCTTTCTTTCTTTCTTCTTTTTTTTTTTGGGAGGTTTTCTGTCTTAATAAAACAGAAGTTTTTAGTTCTGGCTTTTAAGCTCATTTTAATCATATTTATAGATCAAATTTTAGGAACAATTGTTTTAGTTGCTCGCTCAATATGGATAAAAATCCTATACCAATTTTGTTGCAGAAATTATATGTGGAGGTCTCAAAATGGTGACTCGTCTTGTTTTGTTTTTGTAGTTGGTGTCCGTGCAATAGTAATTTCCGGCCAAAGATTATGATTTGTTTTTCGATTGAAATTTTGTCCCTATAAATGTTTCTCTTTTTATATAAAATCATGGCAAACTTGTGATGAGCTTGCTAAAGTATAAATGAGTATTAAAATCTAAATGAGTATTCATTAAAGCTCAAGCCTGCCCAAGCAAGATTTAGCATGTTCTCTTAAGCTCTAGAACTCGATCAACAACTCCTTAGCAAAAGTCATCAACAAGTTTGAAGCATTCAATTTTACTAAAATCAAGTTAAATTTATTTTTGTAGCAAGCGATCTACGGGCATTGTTGTGTATTTTTCTTATTTCTGTGATGTAATATATATATATGATTCAAGAATGTATGGAACTTGTTCCTAGAGTCACTGCCAGATGACAATTGTCCAAGTTGTTTTTGGATTCTATTAACAAAAATATTCAAGCACGAAGGCATTGCCGTCTACACAAATTAGTGATGAGACCTATTACCTAAAAGCTGATGAAAATTTATTTTCCTGTCCTTTTCGGGTGAAGAGTATAGTTGAGAAGGGGAAGTTGTAGGAGTAACTCACACTTTCTAAGGGAGATTGTAAGGATGGAGCCTCTTGCAAAATTCAAGATTACTCACTCTGATGAGTCCTATGGAGAAATAACTAATCTCGTGGATCATTTTGCTTGTTTTGAATTTGTCGTTTTCTTTTTATTTTTCATGAATTTGTAGGAGTCATGTCTCAGGTGATTCGCCTACTTGTCACTTTAAAAAGTATTTTTATTTTCAAGTTAAAGATAATATTATCACTCAATTCACCATTGTCTAAGGTTTACTTGAGAATTTGTTGGCCTCAATAAGTCGCTAAGGGGATTCATAATGAGGTTCCAAAAGGGAATGTTTGAGGTGAGGGATTTGGTGCTGCTTGTGGCTCAACCTACACTTAAAATTTAAGAAAAGGACCATTTTGTAAGGTTCTAAGTGTGTAGTTGCTGAAAACATAGGTTAAGTTGTTGAAAATAATCATGTTAATGTCAAAGTTTAAAACTATAACTCAATTTGTTAAATTTTGATCGAATGAAAATTTTCGCTCATATAAGAAAATTGTAGCGACTTCTTAGGGATCAAAGAAATCTATTGGGGCTCACAAAAGTAGGGGGGAACTTACTTTTTCACCCACATCATTATTATCAATACCAATAATCGTATCATCCTAAGAGAAATAAAAGATGAAAATCAAGTTGATAGCAGAACAATGCAGAAGTCGTCACTTTCTACTCATTGTTGTCAAACCGGTATGCTATATTGTGTTTCGATAGCTAAACTAATTAAACATCCAAAATAAAAATTTCTCTAAGTGCTCCCTTGAGGACTAGTTCTCATTCAAGTGATCCTTAAAAGTATTGTATGCTCCGCAAAAATCACAGGCATGTTATTGAGGAGCATCGACATCTCCATAATTTAGTAGAGGAATTTATCAATATAGTAAAATATAAAGAGTTTGTTCTTGCAAAGCAAACCAAAAAAGCTGCTAATGGAGGTGAAAAGAAAGGAAATTGTTCTAGCATAGGTAATACACATCATTGGAATGGTATGCAACATTCTTGGTATATTGGGACAAGAAGCCTCTCACTGAGTAAGCCTTTAATAATTTTGGTTGGGAGATAAAAATGTGGTGCTCTTCATATTTTCTAACGCGGATTGACCAACAATGAGAACTCTTATAATGATGCAATTATGCTTGATGCCATTTTCATAATACAACCAAATTGACGACATTTTAATACTCAGATGGAGTTTAGTAAATATTATGTTTCAAAAATATATTTAAGAAGAAAAAATATTAATGATTCTTCTTTGTTTGAAGAATATTGAACCATTATTTTTTTGGAGAAAAAAAAAACTAAATGTATAACTATATTATCAATATCTAGAGAGATGACAAATATTATTTACAACAATGTTTGACACATCATTGTAGGCTTTTTGCTAATTCATAATGTTATTTTTTGTTGATCACTTCTAAATACTTTTAGGGAATTCATTTTTACCATATCTTTTTAAAGTTCTCAGCAGCAAGTAGTGGCAGTGAAAGGAGGCTTGCTATAGCAAAGAAAGGTTTCCCAATCTTTAGATTCGAAGGAGGTATAGACTCCAGATTTCTGAGGTGATTGAAGGAGAACTTGTTGATATCTTTGATTTAAACTCAACTTGACTTAATTGATATTTACCCTTTTTCAACCTTATTGAATGATCTTTATTGATGCATCTCTAAGTGCTATCAAATTAAAATGCATCAGGTGGACTCCAAAAAATGATATTCATTATGAGAGATAATTTATAGTGCTAGAAGATATTGCTCTTTTGTTTGAAAAATACATGTGTGATTTATTAAAAAATAATATACTATTTCTTCGAGGAATATGAAGGAAAAAATATTGAATTTTATGTTGACTATTATTTGACAACAAGCAATGCTCTAGAACAAAACATTCTTAACCTAAAAAAGCATCTGATGCTCTAAAAAGGTGCAATATGAGACTTAGTTTATTAATGTGTATTTTTGATACAAGTTCTAGGAAAATTTTGGGTTTTCAACTCATTTGGAAAGGAATGAAAATAAACTCAAATAAAATATAGAAAATGTTAGGAGAAAGGTGCATGCAATTCTTTGAAATGCTATGAAGCACTATACATTTATCATGACGTGAAGCATACAAAAATGCTTTTAAGAAATTGAAGTTCCTTGTATTTTCGTCACAATTTTTTAAAGTCTGCAACCAAAAAATTACTTGCATTTCTAATGTAGGTTTGGGGAGGAAGTTGTCAGCTCAGTGTTAACTAGAAAAGATGAAAAGAAGTAATAATTGATTTAATTTATTAGAAAAGTTCTTGAAGGAGTTGAGCTAAGATACCCAATCATGGATAAGTTGGGAATTCATTTTGATAATTAAAATGCTATGAATTCAATCTTATTTTTAGTTGTGTTATATTTATGTAATCAATAATCATTCACTCAAAATTATTCTGATAAAATTTAATTATTTAGAGAAACTTCTCTCAAGTGGGCAATAATGAGTTGTATGTTAAACCAATGACTTCTATCAAGTCATAAGCATTGGCTAATGTTTTTTATTCTTTTTAATACTCAGAGTCACCAACTTGTCTATTTATATATTGTCATCGTATGATTCACCTTTTCAAATAAATCTCTCTCTCTCGGGTGATTTGAAGAGGAGATGAATCAGAAAAGATGGGATATATGACGGAGATAAACAAACAAATTTAAAAAGAAATATGAAAAACTTATGTATAGGTAAATCTTGTACGATAGGTCGAGAGTATACGTCCAAGTAAGCTTAAATTGAAATATCTTGAAACATGTTATCCACGAAGAAAATTATTTCTTATTCAATATAATTTCATTGTTTGAAGTTCAGGTTCTTATAAGGATTATTGGAGAGGAGGTTGCCAGGATAAACAAATTTTTGCTCTAATTAGTAGACAATAACTATAATGACTTACTTGACATTGAAAATTTTCATAATATTAATTAAATGGAAACTAAAAAGGATGAAGAAAAGATGAAGGCCTGTTAAAACAACAAGAAGTCTTAAGAGGATGCTCGGTCATTCGATGGATCAAGAGCAATCGAAGCTTGTTGGACTATGATTTGTCAATTTGATCTAATTGAAGATGGGGTGCTTTGCTTTGAAGAGTTCAAAATCATAATAATACTATAACTCATGGTTGTTTACTTGGCTTCATGCAAAATTGAAAAGTTTTTGTGGGTACTTCATAGAATTTTATCATTTGTTTATTTTTTAATTGTTGAGAATTTTATTTAATAATGTAGATTTCTTCTTTTGGATGTGAAGCGCTTTAATGGAAGATTATATATATACTACATCAAAAAATAAATCACACAAAGATGCAAGATAGAGAGAGAAATTCAATATTTGAGAATTCATTTGAAAGAAGCATCATTAAACTCAATTAAATTAAGGACAAGTCCAAGGGTAAATAATGAGATTTGCTTCAAGGGAATGGAGGCAAACCTCAATGAACAAGAAAAATGTTCTTTAAAATTAAAAATTATCAATCACTCTATATTGTTGGGCAATCATAGTATAAATACAATTAAAAGGGGGCTGTAGAATAATTAATTTATTGAATATTCATCGTAAGATGCTGTTGACAATTATAAAAAAGATGAAGAAGTTGAATCCCAATAACGTGAATGCTACAAGTGAGTTTTACTAAGGAGATCCGTTAGGCAATCTATTGAATCCTTATGGTCAAGTATTATGTGAAGTTAAGGGCCTCTTTGGGATCAGTTTTTGTTTTTGAAAACAAAAAATAGAAAAGAAATAGTAAAACATTGTTTAATTGTCCATTTTTTTATCTATTTAATAATTTATTTTTAAACATAAATGGGTTGTTTTCAAAAAAACATAAAAATGTGAAACATGTTTTCTCTTTTGAAAATAGTCAAAACACGTTGAGTTCTTAATAATTATAAACTTATTAATAATTTAATTTTAATTAATTAACTTAATAACTATAAATTTTTTATAATAAATCTACTTAATTATAATTAATCATTTAAACCCATAATGATTTAAATAAAATATTAATAATTTATTTAGTAAACTTAATTATTATTAACTATAAATTAATTTGTTAATTTAATAAAATGTTAATAATTTAATTAACTAACTTAATAATAATAAAATTTAATTAATTAACTCAATATTTATAAATTTAATTATTTAACTTAAAAAAATATTAATAATTTATATAATTAATATAATAATTAAAAACTTATTTAATTAAAACAATAATTATAAAATTTCATTAATTAATAATTTAATTAAATAACATTATAACTTAATAATAATAAATTTTAATTAATTAATAATTTGAGTTAATTTAATTCATTAGCCTAATAATTATAAACTTATTTAATTTTAGTTATTATCTATAAAATTAAATTAATTAACTTAATAATTATAAAATTTAATAAATAATTTAATTAATTAACTTAATGTTTATAAACTTATTAATTATTTAATTTCAATTATTAATTTTCTTAATTATTTTAGTAATTATAAAATTACAATAAGAATGTGCTTAATTAACTTAATAATTATTCAATTAAACCCATTTTAATTCAAATAAAATATTATTCTTTTATCAAATTAATTAATAATTATAATTAAATTAATTAATTAATTTAATGAAATATTAGTAATTGAATTAATTAACTTAATAATTAATAGATTTCATTAATTAGCAATTTCAATTAATAATTAATTAAATAAATTAATAATTATTTAATTTCAATTAATAATCTAATTAATTAACTTCAAAATTATAAAATTATAATAATAAATCTACTCACTTTTTAAAAAAGTTTAATTTTTCTTTAGGAAAATTTAAAAAATTCCTAACCAAGCATGTTTCATAATTTTTTTTAAATAAATAAATAAATCATAATAGTGTCAAACGCGTTTTCCAGAAACAAAAAACATAAAATAAAACAAAAATAATATAGGCTAAAAACATAAATAAAAAACCAAAAGTGATCTGAAACAGGGCCTAACCTAATAGTTTGAATGTTCAATTGTAGAAGAAAAATATACAATTTTCAAATCATTATGTCGCTTGTTGATTAATCAGCTTTGTGTCAATTTTAAATAAGTTATAAGTTTTGAGTGGTTTGACTTTGTTTATTAGTTAATAGTTTCGTAGACATGATCCAAATATGTATCAAGCTTTGATGGACAATGAAGCCAATATGAAGGATGAATTCATAGCCAATGTTTGAAGTTCTCAAGCACCTATCATAGTTGAAGTACCATCTCAAGGATTACTTCCAAGAATAAAAACCTTTTAATACCTCTTCCTTGAAGGATTTTGGGAAAACAAAGATGCTGATAATGAAACTAATATCACTTCTTTAGCACATATCTTAATGTGAAATGATTTAAATACTATAAGATATCTAAAGATCTCAAAAGAGATGTTAAAAGCTTTAAAAAGAGAAACAACCAACATTTTGTAACTCCCATATATTTAATTTTCTCAAATGATCATTTTACAATTTTAGATTGGTGAAATATCTATGTTATAAAATTGCAGCTCCACCATTAAATAATATTGGATGAAGAATATAGACGGGACACCCCCCAATAGCAAAGTTCATGCATGAATAACTATAATTGAGTAGAAAAAAAAAAGATCAAATGAATTACGAACCAAAAAGAATTTGTGGATGAAATTGTATTGTTTGAATATAAATGAATAAGTTTATCTATCTGTTATATCTAAAATAACATGATCGAATAAAAAAATTATTAAGGTTAGCTTAGATTTGGCTTTATTGTATCTTATGACTTTGGATAATATCAAATAATAATGATTTGATCTTATGAGGGTGTGTAAAAATTCTATTGATGATAGTTATAAGAGTTATTTTGAACAATGACTAAAATATCCTTGATATAATTTATGCACAGTGTAGGGTTTAATTAATTTGGAAAGCTTTTTCAAGTTCCAATAAAATCCTCACAATGGCTTTCATCACTGAGATTTAATTTGCTACTTACCAAACATTTATACATGTCATTAGCTTCTCCTATAGGGCCTACTTCATTGTCTTCAATATTCCGACATGCCCTAGAATTATTATCTATATTTAATACCACATATTTGGTCGATTTAGATAGTTTAATTTTTAAATTAGCTAAACCAAATGATTATTTCTTAAGAAATTAATAAATTTAAGTTAAACTAATTTTGATCGAATCAAATCAAACTCGACAAAGAATTAGGTTGGTTAGGTAGGTTTGATATTGAATGCACTAAAATAAAATTGACTACAACAATGACCGAATTATCTTTAATTTAAATAAGGTTTATCTGAAAAGTATCAAATAATCTTTATTAAAATTTATAATTTTGACATATAAAATAAGCAGTAGCCATGTTGATCCTCCCTTCACTTATTTATAACATGTGTTTATTGGTCCAATAATTGAAGAAAATAAAACCAAACAATGAATTAAAACCCAAAAGAAAGTTTAAAATACAATTAATAATTAAAGAAATATTTTTAATTACTAAATCAATCAAACCAAATAAGGTTAACTCGGTTCTATTTCCCAATTTTATCCAAACAATGCAATCCCCTTGTAAATCCACATCATTACATTTGTAATAAGTGATAGACTGGTTTACAATACAAATTTAAAATGGATTGCCTGAACTGCTGAATTTTTTATAACTTGTAAACATATGCAAGGATTTGGCTGTGTGCCATAACATCCAATTTCTTTAAAAGCAGAATCAGCATATCAATCAAAACATTTCTTAAAATTGAAAAGGTGTACCAATCACTAAAAGTGTTAGAGCATCATCATGGCCTTAAACTCTTCAAAACAAAGCACTCCGTCACCGTTCAAGTCAAAACTAGAGATCATAGAACGACATTGCTCTATCGGCCTTGACGAGCCTAAGCTGCTTAGCATTCTCTTTAAGCTCATATCAGTTATAAAGCCCCTGCCTTCCATTTCATATAACTTGAAGGCTTCCTTTACCATGTATTCCTCATTATGACTCTTCTCTTTCTCACTAATTTCTATTTCTGCCAATCTCACAAAATCATTGAAGTTAAGCAGATCATCATCATCTGAGCCAGCATATTGCAAGAAAGCCTTGGCCTCCTCAAAGCAGAGCTCTTCTCCAATGGTTTTCATAAGAAGCTGAAGCTCTGACAAAGAAATTTTACCATCACCATTAGTATCGAAGTGGCTAAAGAGGCGCTCCATCTCCTTCTGCCCTTTTGCCAGGGAAGTGGAACCCATATTCATGCCTGTTAATTTGTTTTTGTAGAACTCGAAGAGATGGAGGAAGAATAAGAAGATGATGAAAACTGCAAATGTTTACAATAAGGTATGAATGAATTTGCTTTGGTTAATTTGTGTGAATATATAATGGTGAATGCTTGTATTTTTATAATGCCTTGGGTATTTTTGTAATTGCTTATATATTATAAAAATGATGCTTACTATTGAACTTTAAAAATTCAGCAGAGGTTTTGTGTGGCTAATGGATATCTAATAGTTGAGATGGTCAACAAAAAGATGCTGAAAGAAGTATTCTTTGAAGATACTGTGCTACAATACAATAAGTATAAGGAATGGGTTGCCAACGTATCACAGTGAAATAGATAATAAAATAAATATTGTTTATAAGTTAAATCTCTTTGAATGTATCTTTTTATTATGGCGAGATGATAAGTAGATGCAATTTAAATCCTGAGTTTCTTCAATATTATACATACATGCATAGGACTGTAAATGAGCCGAGCTTGAGCGTGCTAAGGCTTGGCTTGTGTTTGGCCCGTTCAAAATTGCTCGAGTTCGAAATTGGTTCGAGCTCAAAATTGGTTCGTGAGCAGTGTATTCGTATTCGGCTCGAAATTGACTCGTTAAAATTAATTGTAAAAAAAAATGATATAGAATGTTGGATTCGAACCTGGATTAAATCGATGCAAAAGAAGACACATGACCATATGAGCTGTTATGATTTAAATTTAGATATAAATATATGTAAATAATTATATGATTTTTTTTTTATTTTGAGCTAAAACAAGTCAAACATGAGCTGCTCGTGAACAACGAGCTTTTTTGACATCCATATGCATACATACATGCATACATTTAGTGTTTTGTGTGTACAAATCATGATGCAAATTTTATAAAGGATTTCTAAAATTCAAATTCACGGTCATATGGGACCTAATTTTAAAATTTTATAATTAACTTGACCGTCTTGACAAGACGAACTCGATAATACCAAAATTGGGTCACTATCGGCCACTTATAATAAAGTTTACCGTCATCAACCACCGCCTATCGGCCTCCATTGACCACCGCAGACTGCCTTATTTATTCTCGTCGACGACCCTTATTTACTAACATCGTATTCCAAATACAAACGTAATATAACGTCATATTGAAGACCCGCCAAAACTTTCAGCATCCGTAGCCATCGAACACTGTCAACCACTTGAAGATGAATTTGTAATATTTGAATCTAAATTAATAAGTTTACATATCCATTATATCTAAAATAGCATGACCAAATAAAAAGACTTCAAGACACATAAAAATTTGATTCCTTATTCTTAAGGAATCAAATTTTTTTTTTAAAACAATTCCTTACATAGATATGATCTCTTCTAATAACATAAGAAAAAAATGGCTTTTTTATTTTAATTTGCAGGACCAAATATTTGTTGGATAGGTGGCCTCTAGCTAGTTGGTTTAGGATTAGAGACCAACCATACTTTGAAGGCATTCTTATTAAACCTTACTTTATATAACTTATTAGGGGATTTTATTTTTCTTTTTAAAATATCTTTCCATGGAAAGAAAAGACAAAAACAAATCTAAACTATATGGATTAGAATTGATTATATAAGAAAATTGGAGAAATGTCATTATTCTGAAGTACAATTCGTTTTGGATGCTTTTTCAAGTTCGAAAGGCCCCCTAAATCATCTAGATAAAAAAAAAGAAAAAAGAAATCTCAAAGTAACTTTCAGCATTGACATTTGCTGCAAATTAAGACTTGCTAGACATTAGCACATATGTCGCTAGCATCACCTATAAGACTCAATTCATAGTTATCAACATTTTGACCTACACTGGAATCATTCTCTAGAGAATCTAAGTGTGCATTTGGTTAGTTTGGATCCAAACACCCTCAACTTTTTGATTTTTATATATAGAACAAAAAAAAAATCTACAAATAAATATACAAAGCTCATATAAGTTAGGGAATGATAAACATGAAATATAAGAAAAGGATAAAAGTGTCAAATTACAATATATGTTACATAATATAAGAAACTTATATTCAGGAAACTCTTAAGACAGAATCGGGAGGAGCTGCTACGAGCGAGAGAGGAGCCATTTCAACAGAACGTAGATTCCAGAGAAGATCCAGAGAGGAAAAGCTGATGATGAGGTAAGTATGTTGAACTTCCTCTTTAAGGTGTGATATTGAATGCCTGAAAATGTAACTAACTTTAACAATGAACCTAATTATCCTAAATTTAAAGAATATTTGCTTAAAATGTATAATTTTGGCATCTAAAATATATAATATCAATTTTGATCTTCACATTACTTGTTTATTTACATGTACATTTTTAGGTTTAATAATTGAGAAAAATAAAACCAAGCAATTAATAAAAACCCAAAAAAAGTAAATTTACAACCAATAATTCAAGTAATATTTTTAATAACTAAATCAATCCAACCGAATAAGATCAATTCATTTATCTTTCTCAGTTTTATCCAAACAATACAGACCCCTAATAAAATCACATAATTACAACGAAATCATTGTTAGAATGACCTACATTACAATCTTAAAAATGAACTGCATGCCCAAATTGTTGATTCTTTTATAATTTTAAATACAATAGGATTACATTGTGTGCCATAACATCTAATTTACTTAAAAATAGGAAATATGAACCAATCGCTAAAAGGATTAGAGCATCATCATGGCTTTAAACTCATCAAAACATAGCACACCATCGCCATTCAAATCAAAACTGAAAATCATAGACCGGCACAGCTCAATCGGCCTTAAAAGCCTTCTTCATCACTCATTTCCTCCTCACTAGTTTCCATTTCCAGCAATCTCATGAAGTCTTTCATGTCTAGAAGACCATCATCATCTAAGTCGGCATGTTGTAGGAAAACTTTGGCTTCCTCACAACAGAGCTCTTCTCCAATGGTTTTCAGAAGAAGATGAAGCTCACATAAAGAGATTTCACCATCACCATTAGTATCAATTGCAAAGGAAATAGACGTCTTATTAATGGTTGCCATTTTGTCTTTTTGGAACTTAAAGATATAGACGAAGAAATAAATGAAATATGAATATTAATGAATTTGCTTTGGTTAATATGTATAAATATATATTGGTTAGTACTAGACCTTTTGTAATGTTTCAGGTGTTCTTATAATTGCTTATATATTTTAAAATTGCAGCTTTTGGTTGAACTGCAAAATTTTAGCAGTTGTGTGTGGTTGATGTTCAGGTCTTGAGTGCTGAAAGTTGAGAGGATCAGCAGTTATATATATATATATATATATATA